AATAACCCTACTGACGTAACGCTTCGCAAGTACAAAGAGCTCCGTTACCGTTGTAGTAGAGTTTGCAGAGATGCACAGCGGCGCTATATACATGCCTCAGTATCGAACAGCAGTCCTGCAAAAGTATGGTCGTTTCTTAAGTCTTGTGGTATTGGTAAGGTTAATTTGTCACTTCCTCATAATATTGATCCTAATTCTTTAAATCTGTACTTTACTGCACCTTCCTCTATTCCTTCCAATGTCAAGCAATCTACATTGCAAACTTTATCTGCTGCTTTTGACCCTCATAAATCCGCCTTTTCTTTTAGATCTGTGACCGTAAGTGAAGTTGAGAGGAGTATCTCCGCTATTACATCAAATGCCGAAGGGCTGAATGGAGTTAGTCGAAAAATGCTTTTGTATGGTTCTACGACTCTTCTTCCGCTACTCTGTCACATCTTCAATTTCTCTCTTAGTTCAGGCTCGTTTCCGAGCTGCTGGCGTCGAGCGGCCGTAATTCCTATCCTTAGGTCTCCAATCTTACCTTATCCAGTCATTTTAGACCTATATCCATCCTCCCATTACTTTCAAAAGTACTCGAACGTCTTGTTCATCATCAGGTAAGCGTCTTCCTCAACTCCAAGAATATTCTTAGCCCCTTTCAGTCCGGGTTCCGCCCGGGCCATAGCACGGTTACGGCCTTGACCAAGATCTCTGATGATATCCGTGAGGGCATGTCTAAACAATGGGTGACTGTGCTTGTGCTTCTGGATTTCAGCAATGCTTTCAACTCCGTTGATTATGACATCCTCTTGGCTATGCTGAAGTCGATCTTTGTCTCGGATGTGGTGGTGGACTGGTTCCGAAGTTATCTAGCTGGCCGGCAGCAGTGTGTACGTACCGACGACAGACGATCTGATTTCTGTGAAGTTATTGCTGGAGCAGGGCGGAGTCCATTCCCCTCTTCTATTTTCTCTTTTCATTAACTTTCTCACTTCTCTCCTTACCTGCCAGTACCACTTGTATGCTGATGACTTGCAGATCTACCGTCAGGCACTTGTTGATGAAGTCAGGAATGTAATTGCGAACTTGAATGACGATCTTAGGGTTATTCACAAATGGAGTTATGCCCACGGCCTTTCAATTAATCCTTCTAAGACGCAGGCCATCATCATTGGTGGGTCAAAACAAACTATTAAGCTGGATCCTTCACTTCTGCCTCCTCTTTATCTCAGCTCTATTCCACTAACCTACAGCAATGTTGTCAAAAATCTTGGAGTTTTCTTTGACTCCACCCTTTCATGGTCACCTAATGTTTCTGAGGTCAGTAGGAAGATATTCGCTGCTGCGGGCTCGTTGCACCGATGGAAAAATTTGCTACCGGTGAGGACCAAGGTTGAACTTGCGCAATCTCTCTTAATGCCGATTCTGGACTATGCAGATGTTTGTAACGTAGATCTCAAAGAAAATCTACTTGATAAGCTGCAAAGACTTCAAAATCTTTGCATTCGATTTATCTATGGCCTGCGCAAGTTCGACCATGTTTCGGAATTTAGGAGAAAGCTCAAGTGGCTTCCCATTAGGTTGCGTCGTGAAGAGCATCTCCTCTTATTATCTTATAAGGTATTGTATGACCCTCGCACTCCCACTTACCTCAAGGAACGTTTCCAATTTTTTGGTGTGGACCACGATCGCGTTTTGCGCTCAAAACACGATAATGTGTTAGAGATCCTCTCACCCGCTCTAAGTATTATATGGACTCCTTTACGATTAAAGCTGCACAGCTTTGGAACAAGCTTCCGCCTGAGTACCGTCACGCTAAATCAATGCACACTTAAAAACATACTACATGATTTTCTGTTACTTAAATCCTAGTCTGCTGTATCTATAAATATATAATATTGCATAATATGTTTATTTGTGTAGGTATGTTATTTATTTGTATATAATCTTTATATGTTTAAGAAAATATGTACATTTCTCTATTTTTGACGACCTCCGTGGCCGAGTGGTTTGTACGCCGGGTTTCATGGTGTCGCCGACTCGAGAGGTCCCGGGTTCGAATCCCGGTGGGGGCAAATGTTTGTGTGATGAATACGAGCATTTGTACTCCAGTCATGGATGTTTAATATGTGATTCTATATAAATATACTTATATATGTACAGTATATGTATTCTATCCGTTACCCTAGTATCCCATAACACAAGCCTTAATAGTGCTTACTTTGGGGCTAGGCTAATTGGTGTGAGTGTTAGCAATATTTATATTTATTATTTATTTATTTTATCTTGCTGGCATACTGCAACTTCCTCTTCGTTTAGTTATTCTTTACCGCAAAGGTTGTCTGGAAGAGATCGCTTAAAGCGATAAGGCCGCCTTTGTCCACATTATGTTATTGTTTCCTTATTTGTGTATTCTTTTGTGTGTGTGCAATAAAGAATTTATCTATCTATCTATCTAAATATTTAAGGAGGGGCTCCCACAGACGTGATTTTATGCCTTTTTATTCTCGATATTATAATACCTAGTGTCTAATGTTGTATATGTATAAGTACGGAATCCATCGTGCGCGACTCCGACTCGCACTTGGCCGGTTTTTTTAAACAATCCATACCTTCCAGATATTTGAAAATTTTAGTACAGTGATTTTTAGTGAATAAATAATAGAAAAAAAATTAAACCTAAGATAAAGAAAAAAAATAGTTAGGTACTTAACACAAGAAATGAAATAAAAATAGTTGGTAACAGACAGATCCGCCAAAATGGTTTGTAAAATTCTATATAAATATGAAGAGAGAAAGCCGGAGCTCAACCCTATGGGGTTACCATATCTCAGGATTTGTCCTGAGATTTCAGGATTTTTGGACTCTTCTCAGGATTGCGGCTGGATTTGCAAATCTCGTGAAATCTCAGGATTTTTTGAATTTCCAATAAAATACAGTTTACGTTTTAAAGATCTCTTTAATAAAAAGTTAAACAAACTAAAAATAATCTTCTTTTGGTAATAATTGCACAATTAAAATCAGTACTTTATTATCCTAGTTAATCTTAACTTAATCAGTTTTATCGTACTTAATATGTGAAGCTACAATTTTAAGTAAGGTTTTTTCTTTAATTATGGATTCATATAATGCCCGACATGTTAAGCTCTTCAAATTATATTGATTTAAAAGTATAAGCACATTATAAACGATAATATTACTTTTTTAAATTGTTAAGTACGTTTGAGAGAAAATTCTGAAACTAAAAATCTCAGGATTTTTCAATGGAAATCAAGCCTTTTCTCCGGACTTTTGATTTTATCATCTGGTAACCCTACTCAAGCACGAACTCTGACAGCTCCGTAATCGTATCGCATCGTCAAGTTTCTATGAAAACTAAGCAACGCCCTTACCGGACGTAAGAACAAACTGACTCCTATCGTACAAAATTTGACGATGACAATACGATTACGAATCTGTCAAAGTTCGTGATTGGGACTCTAATTCACTGACTTATCAACGCCCAGTCATTGAATGTAGAGAGTTGAATTTTAACTCAGGTGCTCTCTTTAAAACTTACCTGTAAGGCGATTCTGTTAAATAAAAGCTCACTTCCGATTTCGGTAGCTGCCATTTTAGACATTAGTTTGATATGCATCAAGCCATTAAACGGCAAAATGTCCCTATATCTGTAGAAGTAGCCAGTATTAGATATTTGACATTTGTTAGAAATCCGAATAAATGAGATCGTAAGTGCTGGTTATGAAGGACTTTTTCACATTTTTGTAGGTTTCACTTAGCTTCTATCGCATGTGAACAGTACCCTTAGTACGAGTTTTACAATTATGAAAACTATGATAGTTTTCGTGAGCTGGCACTCGTGCCAAGGGTACTGATTTTATAGTTTTCGTTTCAATACAAATAAACAGCGTTTAAAATCATTTGCGTCTTCTTAAATTTTAAGTATATTTGGTTACTTTTCACCAAAGTGGACATAGAAACATAATTTACAATTACGAAAACTATGACAGTTTTCGTAAGCTCATACTCGTACTAAGGGTACAGCACATGTCCGTTTTTTATTTTTTTTGTTTCATTAGCCGATAGAGCTGTGATTGCCATTTAAATAAATAAGTGATGGTCAGGTGGTTTTCCAAGTGTCAGATCTGCAACGTTACGTAGGGATTGTCGTTATGAATCAATAATGTTTAACAATTTATTCGAATTTTATTACTATTAATTCATCATCAGCCTATTAATGTCCCCACTGCTGGGGCACAGGCCTTCCCTATGGATGGAATAGGGAGATTGGGCCATGACCCACCACGCGGGCCCAGTGCGGATTGGTGGGTGCTAACGACTGCAGATGCAGCCGGGACCAACGGCTTAACGTGCCTTCCGAAGCACGGAGGAGTTCTAGATACTAAATTTTTGGTCAGCCATCCGATGACCGACCACTGCGAAAGTTGCTTAACTTCAAAGACTACTATTAATACCGAAGTCATACTCGGCACTACACTCATCCAAAGAAATTTGGCATGACTAGGAACTTCTTTTGCTTTGTACTTTTATTCTAGGACGAATTAAACTAGTACAGCCCATGTGAAGTACTTCGATCGCCATGTAAAAAGGTCATAATCGGGTCATGTTGGAGCGACCTTCAGTGGCACCTTTCCTCAAATGACAGTTTAGTTCGTACTAAACAATCAGGCTTGTGTGCTTGCGACGTGCATGTAAAAAATACTTACATTATAAGAGCTATGTTAGTTTATAAAAAGAGCTACAATAGTGTACAGTATTATTCGTAATTAAATTTAGCCTTGAGCCAAATTGTATTTCACTTTGAAATAATTATTGTACAATTAGATTCATTATGTATACAAATAGCTTCGAATTATATAAAATACTGCTGCACTGCTGCCCAACAGTATTATTAGAGTATGTGTGAAGTATACGATATGGGCTTTTAGTTAAGTTTTTATCTGAAGCAGCTTTTGTTATGCATGTGAATGAAGTTCATTCTATCTCATAGGGAAAGATCCGGCGTTCATTGTAAAGGCGTTTCTCCACGAGACCGTTTGTCGCCGTTGCCAAGTCGTGCGTCAAACCGTGTCGACGTCACATAGTCAGTCTTGCATTATGGGGCTAATTACCCGCTACTGGTATTGCGGAGCGCTGGAGAGAACGTTTCGAGGAAAAGCACCCTAAGTTAGTAGGAAAAGGATGCGGTGTGCGTTGCACGTCCTGAAGGCTGTACTGGCGACAGAGTAATGTGAATAGTGGGCGCGCGGGGGTGGGGTGCTGCGGGCGCGGCGCGGGGTGCGGTATCGATGCGGGTGCGCGCGCACGCCCGCGCCCCTCGCGTTCGATTTTCCCCGTCCGGGCGACAGTGGCGGCGCGTTGCATAACTGTGTGGCGGCACTCCGCGCGCGATTCCGCCCCGAGCGCCCGCGAGCGCGCAAAACGCGCACACACGCGACACGTCGTCGTCGCGCCCTTTACGTAACGCGCAACCACCGCGCACCGTAGGCCCTCGGCCGCCGCGCCCGGCGCCCGCTCGAGTTCGTGGAGTGTCGCGTGCAGCGTGCAGTGTGCTGGAGGGACGGCGTGGCCGGAGCACCGCCGGGGCTGGTAGGTCGCAGTGCCGCAGTGCCTTTGTCCGTGCGGAGCGCCAGCGGCCGCGGCGGTGCTGAATAATTGAAGCGGAGGCTGGTGACCAGCCGGTATCGACTCGCTCGGCTCGCGTGACTCGCCCGTATTAGCGCCGGCAAGGACGCCGCGCTGGCTGCGCCACTTCGCCACCGCCATCGCCGCTGCGTCTCCTGTCACTCTTATGTTTTGTCTGTCTATGCTTCTGCTGCTTTACAACACCCACAACCGTCTTGTTCTATCGACCAACTGGTAAACAAATAAACTGTCGTATTTTACCTGCAAAGAACGCGACAGATCGATATTATTACTGCAATGATTACATTCTTTACTTTTTCATCCAGTGATACATGCGAACACACAACGCATGCGAAATTTGTGAATGGAACAAGAACTGGCTACCACCAAATGTCAACGTCAGAGTTATTAAAAATACCAGACGTTAAGTACACAAAAGTTCATTAATCTTTGAGCATATTAGTTCAATCCGGGTGTGAAACTTACGTAAAGAGAATAGCTCCATTCAGTTTTAGAGACGTTATTATAAGTTAGCAAGATAGAGACGTTGCGTTCTTTTAATAACACTTCAAAAGTTAATCTGCATTGCTTTATTTATTTTGCAATAGTTACAACTTAGAAATAACAAAATAATAGTTTGATTATTATTGAAACTGTTATAATGCGGCGAACGAATGCGGGCGCTACGAGCATGCTACGCATAACTTCGTAGCACGTTACGAGCTACAATGGAGGCCCGAAAGAATTTCAAACCGTAACACTTCTGTAACAACAATATTGGTATTAATTTCTAATTGTTTGGTATTTTTAAACAGGTGAGTGACTAAAGATTTAAGTAATTCCTTATTTTATCCTTATAATCGTTCATCAGTTCACATTATCGTTCTAAGGTCACACATTATGTAACTAGCGAAGATTTGTTGCCTTTCCTATTCACAAAGAGTTTTTTAGGGTGTCATGATAATAAATAGAATAAGGGATTCGAATATATTGCATAACATGACTATTTCGGTAAATTACTACCGGTAGAATTCTATTTGAAGTAGGAAGATGTATCGTCACTCACTGCATGTCAAATTCAAAGTGCATTTTCGGTGAATCTTTATCGAGTCATTGATTTCGTTGTGTTTAAAATCCGCATTGTTGTAATATAACTTTTTTTATACATACAAATATATTGTACATAAACATTTCATATCTTTTGCAGGATGTATGAGCATACAAAGGTTCGTAGCATGATATAATTAATTATGATTATTTCAGAACAACTCATATCAATTATATTATAGTCAAACAAAATTTAAATTTAATCAAAGACGATGTACATTTTCTTTGAAATAACAATAGAATAAAGTAACTCGTGTCTTGATGAAGAATTTAATTAAATTTAATTGGCGTCTGGCGGTCGGACTTAAGTAAGCAGAGCTAATATTATGAATACTAAATAACATTAAAAAAAAATAAATGTAAACAAATTTAACGAATGCTGGATAGTTAGTTAGACTTCATTTTTCTTGCACAATCTACAAAACACACAACTTATTCTAAAATAATTTTATATAATGACAGTCAATAGATTGTGAGAGACAGGTGCCTGGATACTCCCATAATAGCCATGTTGCCTCGAACTTAGCAGCAAAGCTTGTGTTGTAACATACTTGAATGCTTACTTAGCAACATCTATGACAGGTAGGAAAATGCAAGTTTCAATTCCAGGATTTAAACCTGGGACCGCTGGATTCACAGTCAGGATAACGTTACGGTCGTATTAATATAGGCTGTATAAAATTATATACTTATAGATATATACTTTTATAGTACACACATTAGGTTACGGAAACGCAATAAAAACTATGCATATATGTATTCTGTACATATGAAAGGCAACCATTGCTGACTGACTGAACTATCAATGCACAGCTCAAACCGAAGAAGGCGTGCGAAAAGAAAGGATTTACCAAAACTCACCCCATAAAGGGGTAAAACGCTGGTGATAAGTTTGTATGGGAAACTAATATTTCCACGCAGAAGAAGTAAATATACATGGAATGACGGGGAGGGTGACAAACGGAATTAACTCTATCAATATGCGTCCGCTGTCTGCTGTCACAGGGCTTTATCTCTTAAACGGAAATAGGCAGACATCTGAAATTCTCTCAGAATACGTGTTATCACAACAAGTTAGATAAATATAGTAAAGAAATTCAGAAAAGAGAGGTAATTCAAACAGGTATTTTTGAACTTGTTTTGCTCGATCTTCTCTTAAATATGGTACGAAAACCTTACACTTGAATATAATTTATTTTACAGTACAAACTCAGTTTTTTCCGCAGCATTCGCCAGTGTGATTTGAAATTTTCTTGTGAAAAAAAATGAGTGTGTTTTCTTAACGCCTCATAAATACTCATAATATAAAATATCTAATTTGATAAAGAAGTCTTAAAAAAACTTTGTCATAGTAGAAACTTTACAGAGTAAATCACTCATTTACAGTTATTATTCACCTATACAATTACATAGTAATTGTGTACTAATGTATATTATTTTCTGTAATATGTAATCCAATACGACTGCATGTTCACTAGTCATTTGTGTTTGATTAATTATTGCGAAGACTAGGTGTAAAATATTGTTACTACGATTTAATGAAATAAACCTTATTCAAATTGTAATTTGAGATGGACCTTTATTGAATATTAGTAATGGTAATATCCACCCACGATGGGACCGGAATGCCTTTATTGTAAAAAAGAACATTTGTAGACTTCTACTCCCATCCCACGCTAAGATATTGCGGTGTTCGATCTCCATTACTTATCCCTCTTAAAAATTGCCCTGGCATGGCTTCAGAAATATATCTTGAATTAAATATTATATTTTACGGACTTAAATAAGAAATTACAGCTATTTATTTAGCAAATACTCATAGACAAGGCCTTAACTATAAACAAAACACTGTTTAAGTACTATTTAATGAGGATGGTTGGTGCAGCTGTTTATAACTGCTGTACCAGCTATCTTCGCGTTTAGACTTTATCACCATTTAACATCAGGTGGGGTAGTCATTTTTTTATTTTTTTTATGGCGAGGTAGGCAAATGACTTTAACCCACCTGATGTTAAGTGGTGATAAAGTCCAAACGCGAAGATAGCTGGTGCAGCAGTTATAAACTGCTACACCAACCATCCTCACCTTGCCGGCCTGCAAAAATGCTTCTTCACGCCTCTCTTAAAGGACCCCTCGCTATAAAAAAAAGAAGTACCTGGCCCCGAAACGTCGACGACTGCTAAGAGAGATGGGGCACAGCGGATTATCCTCGAATTGGAGCGCCCGACTCCCTAGTCGGCAACCTCCACCTTGCAAATGACACAGACTTTTTGTGGTGTTGTTTGAGTAGGGTTCCAGGGAGGTAGGGCCCACTTTCTGCCATATCATCTATCTTCGCGACTCGACTCTACTTACACTTACCATCAGGTGGAGTAAAGTAAATTGTTGTATAAAAAAATCGGTTGTCTGAAAGTCGGTTTACTGACGATAGCTGAACGTGACAACATTTTTTTACAATGTAAATAGTTTTTATAAGTATGAATGTGCTTTGAGAAATTGTTTTACAACTTTTAAACATGTGAGATATTTAACTTCTTACAATTTGTGTTATTCTGTTGAGAATAGGACGATGATGTAAATGTATTATTGTATAGCAGCTGTCCACGCGGTCGCATCGCTCACTCATGTAGGAGAGAGACAGATGTCGAACGCTGCCTAATGCGGAGGCTGATTGTGCCTCTTTGTCGCTCGTTGCACGCTCTCGCTTGCACTTCAAGAATTTAATGGAAAGCCTCAGAGCGAGGTAACGCCGCATGAGTCATGTTTTTTCGTGCGTGCAGCCGGCTCCATCGAATTATAAGACGTTATCACGTCAAAATTGACGTGATTTGAAGACCATGAAGATGTTGATTGATGACGCAATATGAAATGATTTTTATAAATCAATTATCTTAATCTTAATGAAAAAAATAATAATGAAAGCGTAAAAGTAAAGTGACAAGACAAAAGACGGATAATAAATGGAATAAGAATAATCGTCTGTCACAGCAGGGGTGTCTGAGCAAAAACCTTGTCCCGCCGCGCAGCCAGTTGCTTATTTAATTTCGTTGGTGTAAAAGTGTCTTTTGTAGCTCCTTAACTAAAAGTGCCGTCTAGTTTCACAGGCAGTTTGTACAGGGCATAAAAAAATAAACGTCGGATGATATGACAACCGAGTATTAATGAGCTTTAAAATCTCTAGTTATGGTTACTATTCTAGGTACCTTCGAAAATATCCTATATTCGTAATTGCAACTTAATATCAAAAGGGTTTGGTTATATTGATGGGAATAATTGTAAGGAATATAAAGGAATGATTCGTTCTACTGATACTGATGCACTATCTCTTCCTCTCTTTCACTCTGGCTATATGTCTGATTCCTTTGCCCTTCAATTTTCACGACTCTGGAACAGCCTCCCTGACTCCGTTAGATGGTCACCCAATAGGTACATTTTTAAGAAGAAAGTTCATGAACTTCTCCTAGAAAGCTAAGTATGTTAAACTTAACTCACAAGTTCTCTTCACAGTCTCATGGTCAATATATTTTATAAACTATTTTAATAATTATTATGTATGTATGTATGAATGTGTATGTATTTATTATAAATTTTGGGTAAATATATTTAAATGTATGCTATGTATGTATGTTTAGGTATTTCAGATAAATATTTATGTAGTTACTTTGAATGATATACACATATAGTGTATGTTTATAGTAAATCACTTTTTTATTATAGCCACATTCATGAATTTCTTTATGCCTAAAGGTTGACTGGCAGAGAATGCTTTTAGCGTTGAGTCCGCCTTTTGTCCATTTTTGTAATTGTGGCCATACAGTATAAATAATGATTAAAAGTTGAATTAATCCGTAGAGTTC